TATAGTAGAAAAAGAGGGTTTGCACGTAATCTCATTAATCCAATAGGCCACTTTAAATCTCAGCTGCTGGGAAGGGGGAAACTGATGAGACAGTGGAATAGTTTAGAATGAAAAAAGTTAGTCTTAAAGGAGGGCACTGAGCAGGTGGCTTCCTCTCTGTATGTAGGAGAGCGGAATGAAGCATCAGTCCCCCCATACCCCCTAAAACACACACGCACACACACACACGCTGAAGAACTGAGAAGTTGGAGGGTAAAAGACAGTTAGAAATCATTAATATGGAAGAACAGACACTGAGGCAGGTGCCAGAGCCCCAGGGACCAGAGCAGTGGACCTCAGACCTGGATTCCCTCCAAGGGAAGGACAGAACTCTAAATTCAATCCATGGGAAGGAGGGGGACATAGGCATTGGCTGTAGACCCTAAAAGGAACATACCTGCCTTAACCATCAAGAAGCCTTGATTCCAAAGTCATTTGGGCTTCTTTGGGTTAATTTTACACATTTTTTTTGTTGTTGTTTTGCTTTGTTTTGTTTTCCCCAAGGACCCAGAAAGCTAGCCAGAATACACTGTGACAGTTGGACCATCAGACCAAGGAAAAGATATGCTCCCGCTCTGCCTCTGCTCATTCGGGCAGCATCTATGGTTGTGAGCACAGTTCCACTTGGACTCCCGTTCTTGTCAGCTGCATGATCCATGTATTAGCTTCAGTTTCCAGGTCTTAGGCTCTGGGCACTGGTAAAAGCTGCATCCACGCAGCCCACAGAAGGGAGAGACTTCATACTAACACTCTTCTTGGCATCACCTCCTCTGCACCCATCGGTATCGTGGCTTTTCTATTACTAAGCAACCCTGTCCCTATATGTCTTTTCCATGTTGGAAATCTCTAGGGACGATTGTTTGTCCTCCTGTTCCTTCCCTGATGCAGGAAATAAATTGCCACTGAAAAGGTAAAAACAGTAGAGAACTGGCCAGTGGACCAGAGCGGGTGAGTGTTGAACTGACACAGGGCCGACCCAGGTTTGATCTCTGGCACCTTGAGGACCGCCAGAAGTGATAACTCAGTGTAAACCCAGAGCACAGAACAGATGCAGCCCCCAAACCCAAAAACAAATAAACAAAATTTAAGGATGACTAGGATGATTTTGCCTAGGGAAAGGAAAGGTTAATGGTGATATAAATAACAATAGATAGTATACCCAGGCCCAATGTTGGAGATCTGCCTTGGGTTCATCTGCAAACAGAAGTGATAAGATTTCCATTTCACACTAATGGTACTTTAGAGGCAGCACCATTCTGTGCCCAGTAGGTGTTTGGGAAGGTTAGCTAGGGTTCTTTGTCAACAAAAAGTATTTCGATTCAATATCAGGTCAAAATGTTGCCAAGAAGAGAGGCTGCCAGATTGAAAAGGTCTGAATTCAGTCCATCTCCAGTAGCTGCTAGCAGTTATTAAGGGATGTTTGGGTATGTCACCCTTTATGCCCCAATTCCAGAGTTAAGAGGGCTCTTTTGGCTTCAAATTATATGCACGCTGACATTGAAGGTTTTGAATGGTAGAGCACTCTACTTTAGGCTATAGAGGGCAGAGTTTCAGGGGACTCCCACTCTTGATTCCTGGCCCAAAGTCATGCCACACTCTCACCGAAACCTTCCTTGCTTTCCAAGTTTCCATTCACTACTTATAGGTTTGATCCTTCATCATTTGAAGACAAGGTACAGACCGAATAGGTTTTTTTCCATATTAATGATTTCTAACTGTCACTGTCATTGTCCTCCCATTGTTCATCGATTTGCTCGAGCGGGCCAAGTAACATCTCCATCATGAGACTTGTTGTTACTGTGTTTGGCATATTGAATACATCACAGGTAGCTTGACAGGCTTTGCCATGCAGGCGAGATACTCTCAGTAGCCTAACACAGTGGTAGGGTGTTTGCCTTGTGCACAGCCGGCCCAGCCAAGCTGGGTTCGAATCCTCTGCCCCTCTCAGAGAGCCTGGCAAGCTATTGAGATTTCTAACTAGGAGCTTATAATAACGAACATGTTCCTTATCCTGAATACATTTAGAGTGATATTTAAAGTCATGTAACAGAAAAAATATAAATTCAGAAAGTAGAATGTATCCTATAAAACAGGAAACAAATCCAAAACAAGAAGAGGGCAGCTACAAAATAACCCAAGCCTGGAATCCTCAGGACCACATATTCTCATGCAATGGCTTTTGAAAACTTCATCTGAGCTTCACTTCTACAGGGAGATAAGACACCAAAGTTAGAATCAAAAAAACACAATGAAGCAGAAACCTTATAGACATTTTCTGTTTAATAAATATGATTGTAAAAGCAATAAACAAGAGCAATTATACATTACACTACAGAGTATTTAACAAAAAATACATCAAAAAAGTCATTTGAAAATTAGAAGTAGTTCCGATACTATAAGAAAACTTTTTTTTTGTTTTGTTTTAAATTGGCTTCCTATAAAAATAAGTTGGCAAATGAGGGATTTCAATGCTCAGTTGGAATCCTGGAAAACACAGAACAGCTGCCAAGCACCCCACTGTTCTCAAAGTTGCTGTTTGGAACTTCTGAAAAATACCAAAGCAAATCTTTGCACTTTGGACTATGAATCCAATTAGAAATAAGGCAAAGGAGAAAATGGTGGTTAGATAGTTCAGGGGAGAGAGTTTGCCTTCTGAGATTTTTGAAAGCAAAGCAGGATCAGACTTTTTAGCTTGCTCTTAATCTGACCTTCCAAATCCATTCCTCCCCACCCACTCCTTTGTCCTTAAACCCATCAAACTCCTCACTGTGTTTTGTACCTGCTGCTAGTGAGTAGGTAGGCACTTGGGTCCTTCCAATTTGTAGGCTCTGATTAGTATCTTATCTTTGGAACTGAGTTGGAGTGGCCTAAAACAGAGGTTCTCGAATGAGCATACATTACAATAATCTAGTGGGTTTAGCAAACCAGAGGGACCCATTCCTTGAGATTCTGATTAAGTTGTTGGAGGATAGGGACTTCAAATTTGCATTTCTATCAAGTCCAAGGTGACGCCAATACTGCTGGTCCAGAGAGCGAACTCTGAGAACTCAGGGGCATGGTCATAAGAACAACCCTGAGCAGTACCTTGCCTCGCTAATCTCCTACAGGTGGAGGGAAGCTTTGCAGAGAGGAACGTGATGAATCTGGAGACGCTGAACTGGAGTTGGTCATCTTTGGTCACTTACCAAATTTCCTGGGATCTCATGTCCATCTCTATTTTCACAAGAATCCCACCCCCAGCCCCGCTTCATTCTTCCACGTGACTTTTTATGTATTCATATATTTATTCCTTTAAGGAATACTTGTTTTACTCCTACTCTAGGCAAGGCACTGTACTAGATTAAGAGTGTTATTTTCCTCTTTCATTATTTTCTAATTAAATTGAACTGGACTGCAACTCTAAGGACTCCCTGAACTGTTTTGAGCAAGCCTCTCTTGATTTCCAAATGCTTTGTCATCCAGATTAAATCTGGGAGAGTCCAACTGAATAGAATCAATGGGGATTTTTTTTTTCCTATGAGATAAGGAAGCCTGGCTAATCAGGGATTCATTGAGTTCTACAAATAGATGATTGCCTCAGGTATAATCCATTTCCCAGATCTATACTGGACATCCTCACCCATAAATTCATCTGCTTGATTCATTTGTGATTAGAACTTTGCTAGTATCTACTCACTATCTTAGCTATCAAAAGGCAGGGGTCATTAGGATCTTTAGAATCCCCCTTTTACACACAGGGCCTATTATACTTGTTGGCTGGCGTGGGGCCTTAGCCAACAAAGGAAACTAAGCTTCTCAGTGGCCCTTCAAATTTTCTTGCATTTCATTCATGCAGAAAGCTGAGCGGTGCCCATTATATAATATTTCCAAGTCTTCTCTGGAGCCTACTATATGTTTTCTTTGTCATGAGTGACCTGGGAAAACTAGCATTTCTTTATGCTTCTAGAAAAGCTGAGTTTGTCAGCTAACTCATCCCCTTTAAACTTTACACTCTTTTTCTTTGCTGATATTCTGATATCAAGAGAGAAGCAAGCATCCAAGTGAATTGATTGGGATCACCTTACCTAACCCAAATTCTCTCCCAATGCAAAACAAGACTTCCATATGTTCTCAGACTTTTTTGACACCCTTAAACATGAAATCCATTAACCTGCTGCTGCCTCTGGTTAAAAATAAGCTTTATTTTACAAATAGCTTTACTGGACTGTAAGATAAGAAATACCAGATAACAGCAACCATCACAGGAGGAAACTGGCCTGTAGCATAGGAACATGTTCAAAACATTTCGCACAAGAATCTTCTAGAATCTGACTGCATAAGATTTGTTAAGGTGTGAGAATACCAGGTTTCATCTGTATGCTTTTTTTTTCAATGTACATGGACATAAATTTGAATTGCTTTGCATATATCAACTCTTTTACACATATTATGTTTCCAGGTGGGAAAAAGGCAAGGGTATTTGGAAGGGGCAGGTTCTACAGGAAGAGATGAGGATTTATGAAGCTGAGCCTCGCACAGGAGGATGCAGCTTGGTCAGTGTGTACAGAAGTTGGCATGCTTGGGAGTGTACAAAATTGAGAGATCAGAAACTTGCGGGCGGGGGTTGGGGTGGGTGGGGACAGGGGCAGGATTGGCAGAGGTGAGGCCAATATTTAGGGAACATCAGAGTTAAAGTTCAGAATCTAGCAATAAGATTGGGAAGTATAGGTAGGAGCAGTTTGAAGGACAACTTGGGGCTCAGAAGGAAGAGATACAAAGACATCAACAGATCATGACCACATAACAGCAAATCAGAGAAAGGCCAGGTGATGGGGGGATTCTGTTCTCTTCCTAAAGGTGCAGTAGGGAAAACTCCAAGGGAAAGGAGTCATTTCAGAAGGGGTGACCATGAACCAAGGTCTGCTTCTGATGTGACTGCCTCTTCCGGTCTTCCTTTCCTCCCTTCCCTCCCTTTTTCCCTCCTTCCTTCCCTATTCTGTCTGCATACAAGGAAATGCAATGCATTTCACCGTCCCCAGGGCCTAACAGAATAGAGAAAAATCAGCCTATGGCCACTGCTGGTCAATAGAGCCATCAAATATAATTCAGTAGGGAAAATGACAGTAAGGGAGGTGAAACAGAGAAACAGCTCAGGGGCTGAACCTCCTGGGCATGTTTCTGTGTCTTAGGAAAAAGGCTGGGGTGGCTAACCCACCCATTAGCCTGGAGTGCTAAAATAGCTGTTAACTCTAGAGCCAAGGATATTTCCAAAAACACATGCAGGTTTCCTTGGCTTCTCTGTTATGAATTTTCTACAAACACGACCGATCAGAAAAAAGAGAAAGGAAGAAAGGGGGGAGGGGAGTGTTTTCCGTTAAAAGAGAGCACCTGTACACTGCCCCTCATAGCATGTTCTCAAGGTATTGTCCACATGCACAGGCTTAAAGCTAAAAACCCTTGTTGTCTCTGTCTGAAGAATTAAAAAGTCCCGATGCAGTGAGTGTTTAGTTTGTTTTGTTTGTTTGGATTTTTTTGACTGTTTTTATTTTATTTTTTTTTGTTTTTGTATTTTTGTTTGTTTTTACTGGCGTCCTCCATTCAAACATTTACATAGGTAGGGATTTCTTTTGTGCTTTGATTCTCAGCAACTATGGAAATACTTCCTGGCAAAATAGGAAACAGAACAACAGAGGAAAGAAAAAAAAAACATAAAGTTAGTGGTCATGAAGGATGATGCACTTGACAAGAGCGAAATTCTTTTCCTGATCAGCAGGTCTCCTGGAGCCTTTTGGGGCTGTTCCTTAAATTGCAAATTGCGCCCCAGCAGATCCCCGCTTTGGCGTTGCAGGTGGAGTGGCGTGTCTTGCTCTTTGCAATCGGAGAGATGAGTCACCAGGTTGAGTAGAAGGGGAGGGAGGGGAGGGTAAAGCTACTCTCCTAAGAGAAAACGTGTAACACTTACTTATTTAATGACACTGGAAATGGAAAGGTGTCAGAGATTTTTTGCAATGGACAGCAAGATGGTCCTGGTGAAGGAGGGATTGCGACTTTAATAAAGTAAACAGCGGCTGTGTTTCATACCCCGTGGAAACGGGATTGAAAACCAAGTGACCCAAAAAAATGCACTTAGAAACACTGGAAGTGAATAGACAGGGCAAATGCATCTCTGAACTCGAAGACAGTAAAGCCTTTTTCTTTTTTTAACCCAAAGCAATTACACATTTATCACCTTGTCTCACCAAATAAAAGAAAGTGCATCATGAAAATTGGGCACCAGATGTGACTGCAGTTGTTATTACCTCCGACAGGAGCTAGTCATTGCATTTAAATTTCCCCTTAATACAACCACAGAATCTTCCAATATCTATTTAAAGAGAGGGATGTGTTTCTATTTAGGGACTCATCTTTTCCCCCAGGAGCAGAATAAGTATCCTAAGAAATGGTATTGAGGTGATTGGGCATTAGTTACATTTAGAATGAAGCATAGAGAGTTACACAATAACTTATCCATCATCATCAGCAATGCAGGACCTATAGGGAATATTTACAGTCCAACTCCTGATGCCAACAGACAGGAAGAAATAAGGAGAGAAATAGATCAGCAATGGTGGCTCCATGAATATATCTACATTTCTGGAAATTTTCCCTTGCAATAAAGAGTGGAACTTGGCAATTCCACTTTGGATTCTACACCTAGCTGCGGGATTTCCATGCCTACATCACAGGCAGAGAACTCTATGGAGCTATGAGGAAGTTCGTTTTAAAACTTCTGCTAGAAGACAGGGTAAAGAGGAAATAGACATTGGCCAATATCCTCTGTAAATATAGCCCACCCCTGTTCTCTCTCAGGAAGCACCATTTCCAGGAGGTTCTATAAACTACCTCGCTGTAAATGTCTTAGTGTCCTCAACATTTTAGGCTTCATTCATTCTGGAGAACGGTTTTCAGATTACTGCCCAACTAAAAGAAAAAATACCCAGGGAGGTAAGGTTGTCACTTCCGGTCAGGGCTCCTGGTAGCTTTGGTCTCTGAAGCAGTTGACCCGCATCAGAGTGGTCTCCAGGTGGTGCTGGCTTTTGCTCTCCTCAGTGCACCGCTGTCCCTCAAATAATGCAGGGCCCTCTGGAACTTCAGACCTGGCCTTGGAGGCCTGTCTTTCTTGTGCTTGGTGGTTTGCTCTCTGCCCAAGATCATTTAAAGCCCAATGTGTTGAAAGGAATTTTTGCGAAACAAGGAATACACTTAAGAGAAAAATAAAACTAGAGATAAAAGCAAGAAGGGTTCCCCGCACCCCACATTCTAATGGAAGAAAGCAGGGTAGGAGGTATCTTAGCTGTTTCTCTGACGAACGTTAGAGCAGAAGAAAGTGGTTATGTCAAGCCAGAAAAAGGTTAGAGAGAGACTCAGCCACTGACTACGAAGACTGAAGAGCTTAAGGCTACTGGGAATCATTTACCTATGAGCTGTGACTCCACCTTCTCATCTATCAGCTGGCCAGGCCTCCTGAGTTCAGTCTGAGGGATATGGGGCCTGCTTTCGGGCTGACTGACTCGACTGACCATCTCTCGTTCTTTCTCATTCTGCATCTGGGCATAAACATTAATCCCCGGGATTTTCCTAAAATATTAACAGAAACCATCACTGCTCTGTGCGACTGAGAGACTTTCACTGCGATGTATGCTTCGGAACCTGCCAGGGAGAAGTGGGGGGTGGAATTGGGTAGGGGGGTCTGCATGGATGGACACATACCTTTTGAACTTGTAGATGACAAACACTGCCAGACCCACAAACACCACCGAAAGGAGCATCAGCATGGCAGAGCCACTGTGGGTGGGATTGAGGTCCACCAGCGGAGCTAGGAGAAATCACAGAGAAGGGTGTGAGGAGGAAAAAGGGTGGCTGAGATGCCACGAGAGATGACCACTACGTGCGCAGAAGTACCCTAAGTCCCAGAACACTGCTTTGATCCTTCACACAGCCTGTTAGAGCCAACTATCCTATTCAAGAAGGGCAGTGAAGCAATTAAAATGAATTTAAAGAGGTTCAGTGGAACAATCTCAATTCCACACACAGGAAGCAGACTGCTTGGATTTAAAGTCTCCCTTACTACTAAGGCTTCCATAGGTCTTTCACATGGAGGGTGCATTGGTGGGAGAGGAAAATGAGAACACAGTCTCACCAGGTTTTAGCTGGACCTCCAAGAGACACTGCATGTGAATCCCTGATAACAGTGCTAGACCCCTAGTAACTGTTCTGTACGTATCCCCTTTTATTATTACTGCTGTTACTATTTTCAATCAATATGCATCATGATATGATAATTAGACATTCCAGCATTATGAACACAAGCTTTCCCCACCAGGTAACACAGATAACCAATGGAAAAAGAAAACAACAGCAGAAATATTTTTTCTGAATTATTCTGTTGTGCTCACTCCTATCCTTGATAGAAAAGAAAGGAAGGAGTAATGGAGCATGCTGGTATATTTTGTATGCAGGAATCCAATAGTGGAGTGAATATTTATCAAGGGAAGCCACTCTGTGGATGAAGAGGAGGTAAAATCTGGGATTCTCACTACAGCCCTGACAGTTCTGTAGACCAGAGCAGCTCTCAGATGCAGTCACTTCTCTCAGGCCAAACAAGACCCTGCCTCCCGGGGTTTATTTACCCCTAGAACATAATTCTGGGAAACATCTCTCCTCTTCAAAACTTCTTCCATCTCAGGGTCAAACATGTTGCATTTTAATGACTTTGCAACTAATTTTCACCCTCTGGAAAACTGACATTTTCACACACAGAATAGCTGAAGCATAAAATACAAGGATGTGTATCCACATAAAAGACCAAATGTCGACCTTTACCTCCCAGCAATTTAAGTGCAGCCTCATACCTAGAGATGCTAGTGACCTTTCAGCATCATTTTCAGTACTTTGTGATGAATCAGAACTAGAAAAATTATGCGCCCCCACCCCCAAGTTATAGAAATTCAACAATATACCTCTTAGATAGGGTGCAAGATTGTGTTGCTTAGGTCTGGCTAGATTTTATAAGATTATATCCCAGCCACTTCTATACCAACAAGTATGTTCTATACGTTTGCTAGTTTTGGTGGAACACAAAGTGAAGGTCTTTCTCATGAAATATTTTTAGCATAATGGAATTTTAGCAGGTACTGAATATAAGGAACCCCTCCCTCCTCCTCCTCCTGGGATCTGTGATCCTGTGTCAGGGGGGCTGTGGTTTCACCACAGTGGGGATACCCAAAGGACATTCAATTTGATATTGGAAAGAAAGTAAAGGTCTCTTTAGTTGAAGTAGGCAAACAAAGCCAGCAGCAAAGGAGTCCAGAAATTCTTCTTAATTCAGAATACAATTGGTGGTAAGTCACCAGGGAAGAGAATACCTTCCCTATGTAATGCACATTATGTGGCTCTCAAAGCAGAGCAGAAAGCAGCTGCAGTTGTTTTCATCAGTTCTCCCAAAGAACTCTGAATTAGTCAATAAAGAGTGTGAGTTTGAACTTAAATTCACATAAAGACATGGTTTTCTTTACTTTTTTTTATACTCAATTCAGTGCTAATTTCAGTAAGAAAAATCAGAAAATGAAAATGGCATTTCTAAGAATGGGATTTAGAGCTAAAATTACAGACACAAAACAAATGAAAAAAAGACACAGTTATATTAACTTTCTAATAGGTGGGGAACCTTTTTGCCAAGGGTCATTTGGATATTTACATCATTTATGATGTATCCTTTATGATGTAAATATTCCATAAATATTTTATGGATTTATGATTCAAATGGGCTGGAGCGATAGCACAGCGGGTAGGGCGTTCGCCTTACAAGCGGCCAACATGGCCGACCCGAGTTCGATTCCTCCACCCCTCTCGGAGAGCCCGGCAAGCTACCGAGAGTATTCGATATGCCAAACACAGTAACAACAAAATCTCCAATGGAGACGTTACTGGGCCCGCTCGAGCAAATCGACGATCAACGGGAGGGCCTTTACCTTTACCTTATGATTCAAATATGGATTTATGATGTAAATATTCCATAAATATTCCATAAATACACAATACAGACAAAAGATCATGGGCAGTGGATGAGAAGCATATGTGTCTGTCCTGGCATGTGCCAGGGTCAAACGATATGATTTCACAGACCTTAGTTGACCCTGTGTAGGTTGGATATTCCCCATTCTATTTGAAAAGAAGCAGTTAAGATCATAGATCAGACACTCCAATTCTGATGGCAAATACATTGTATAAAGATATATGTGTACAGGCTGCCTGATATTTTGTACTCATGTTTGTATGTATGTATATATGTGTAATATGCATATGAGGGAGTCAAAGCTTTGGTTTTCTATCACCAAGCTCCAATATCCATTAGCCCATTGACAGTAGTATTTTATTTCCCCCATGCAGCCTTTACAATGCCAACTACTGGATTACTTTAAAGTAAATGTCAGCTATCATAATGTCATTTGTAACTCTAATGATAAAGTTTCTTTCCCTTCCAGTGTCCTCAGTACTCTCTCTATTACCATCACAATACCATTATCACACTTGAGGAATAATAATAGGATGATATTTGAAAGATAATCATCTAGTACAAACCCTTAAGTTGACAGGGAACAAATGGAGGCCAAGAGAGAAGACAGAGATAGGACAATGAGAGGCAGGTTAGTTAAACTTCTTATTTCAAGATGAATGTTCTTAAATAATAAGCAGAATATCAGTGGCACAACCAGGAAGAGTGCCAAATCTGCTTGACAGACTGGAATTTCAAATGAAGAGAAATTGCTTTGACCAGGATTTCACACAGACACACAGAAATACAGACACATAGACACACAGACATGTGCGCGTGCACACGCGCACACACACACACACACACACACACACACACACACTCCCCTTCTACCCAGTTCCTCTCTTCTCTTTCCCCATCACGAGCTAAAATATTTCAGTTCCAAATCATTCCTACTCAAATCATCATTCATAAGCAAGCAGCATCAACACTGTTAAGCAATCAGCACATTACTTGGGGAACACGAGCTTCTGCAATCTGAGTTTGAAAATGTATGCTATCTCTTCTCTGGTTGTCCCCCCAACCCCCACACACCCTTCGCCTCTCAGTCACTTCTCAGAGCCAGCAAGCAGGAAGAGGCAACAGCAGCAGGAGATTGGACACCACTGGTCTCTGTTCCCTGGGTGGCTTCTGTTGGCTCATTGGGGAGCGAATATAAAAGGGGCCTATTATTGCTCTGCACAACAGCAGCTGTGTATCTTAGTTTGCCCAACACTTAGGTGCATTTGTGTGTGTTTTGCTGAGGAATGGAAACTTGTGATAAATGGGGTTTAGCATGTTGTGTAGAATTAGCATAAATTAATCTGTCTCCAATTGCAGCCTAAATAAGGTGGAAACTAGAAGCGTGGAGGGAAGTGCTGAGCAGCTTATTTGCCATTTTTCATGCAGAGTAAAGATCAGCACAACAGGCTTCAAAGGACCCAACATTTCTTAAGTCTGGGTGCAGGCACACAAGCTCCCTAACATCTTGCAAGGAACTCAGAACTGCACTGAGTGTGTATGTTGCATTCATTCGGGTCTGAGATGCTGATATTGATAACAATAGTTCTCTCAGGAAAAGTGAATGGCATCTGGTGAGCACTAAATATATGGTTATAGGTTGTACAAACAGGATCAATTCAAACTTCTATGTTTAGAATGAAGCAGCTGATTTGCTCCTTTAAATTAGATTCCAAGTTTGACATTTATGGGTTAACGGACTTTAACTTGAACCTCAGCTACAAGATGGAGAGAAAATATAGTGTTTTAGAAAGTTGTGAGAATAAAAACAAAATAAATGAGAAAAAGTAAATGTAATATTTTAGAAAGTTGTGAGAATCAAAAGCAAAGAAATGAGAAAAAGTAGTTTTATTATTTCTTTGGCAGGGCAGGTAAATTTAGCTATACTTGGAGCTTACTCCTGGCTCTGCACTCAGGGATTTTGTCCTAGGGAACCAGATGTGGTGCTAGGGATTAAACTCAGGTCAGCCCCATGGAACGAAAACATGTTACCTGCTGTACTAATTCTTCAGCCCTTCACAAATGAATTTTTAACTTATTTCATTTTGAAATTAATTTTGGTGAGGGGACCACACAGAAAGAGTACAAAAAGGATGGAGAGATTATGTATAATAAGAGAAGACTTATGAATATGATAGTTCTTCCTTACAGTTCAAATGCAAACTGAATCAGATTCTTAAGCAAGGCTTTTTTTTTTTTTTACCTTACTTGGTAGAGCAATGAGTCTGGATCCTAGACTAGGTGGAAACTGACAGAAAGGCTCTAATGACTAGGGATTCATCAGTGCATATTTTAAAATAAGATGGAGTCTTCCAGAATTTCTTAGAATCGGGAGTTGAGGTCAATGGGCCAACTAATTTCCAGCATGGTACTTTGGAGAACAAACTTATCAAGGTGTTTGAGATGGATGCCTTTTGATTTTCTAAGGTTTAAAGTCAGTGAAGAACCCTGCTTACTATGCAAAATATTTCTCAAAGTGTGGTTCATAGACTACCTGAATCATAATCACCTGGACAACCTGTGAAAATTCAATTTTCTTAGACTGTGTTTGAGAAAAATAAATACCAATTTCTAAAGTTCTACCCCAGAAATCTCTAAAGGTATCAGGCTGAACAAGTCAGTGTGCGTATGAGTTTGAGAGCACTGCATGGTAGACTTCACTTAGTCACTCATTCAATAGCCTTTATCTTTTGAAGTGTGCCTGATCTTTATATTTTCTAGGTTACTTAAAGATAATAAACCAACACCCCATACTCCTTGAC